ACAGCCTGTCCATGTACTGCGCCAGCGCCAGGTCCAGCCCCCCCCCTGTGGTCCAGCTCGCCCCCGCCTGCAGCGCCCAACCCCGGAAGGCTTCGGCTCTCTTCTGGCAGTCCGAGAAGGTCGCCTTGGCCGCGGACCTCGACTCCACGAAGGACGGCGCGCCGGGCACGAACCTGGGAGGGGCGCCGACTCGGGCGATGGAGCGCGGCACCAGGTCCCCCTTGCGGCCGCCGCAGCAGCCGACGTGATGCCGATCATCCTCACCCAGTCGCCTAGCGAGGCTGCCAGCTCCGCCCTCTCGCGCGCGCGGGACCGCCCGCCCCTTGCTTGCCCGGAAGCTCGGGAACGCTGGCGCGGCTGGCAGCGCCCCAGGCCCAGCGCCAGCAGCAGCAGGCCCCACCTCGACGGCCTCCCCATCCAGCTGCGGCTTGAGGTAGTACATGCCTCGGGACGGGTTATCTGCCGGCATCGTCTCCGACGGAGCAAAGCGGGCGCGCGCATGGGGGCGGCGCGCCAAGGTGGGGGCGCTGATCTCCTGACGGATGTCGAAGCTGAAAGGCCGACGATCGGCCCCTCCCGGCGGCGAGGGCCAGCCCCAGGTTGTCGACCAAGAGGAGAACTCGACGTCCGAAAGCTCTCCAGGCTCGAAGGAGATGTCGAAGCGAGCTCGAAAGAGCGAGCCCCTCCAGCCGCAGTATGTTCGCCGGGCCCCGCCGAGGGAACGACTCGACGATATGCCATGTCTCTGGGGCAGCGAAGCTCGAGTCGACTATGTCGAAGGGCTTCGCATGCTCGTCTGCCTGACGCAAGCTGCCCGGCAAGTCGTCTGACGCCAGCGGCTGCCCCAGCATCGCAGACGCGTCCTCGCCCCCGAAGGCATGGGCACGAGCGGCCGCGGCGCCCTGGCGGCACCGCCAACGCTCAGCCGCCCGCCCCCATCGCGCGACGTCCTCCACGGCCGCCTCGCGCACGCAGACTCCGCGGCCCCAGTGCGAGGCGTCGCCGGCAAGGGCCTTGCTGTGCCAGGTTGGCGTCCGCGTGAGCCGCCATCAGCGGCGGCAAGTTCCTGACGCGCCAGAGCTCCTCCCTCACGGCCGGCCACAACTCGCCCTCATCGATGCCCCTGGACTCGATGTAGGCGTACACTGAGCTGAACACCGACAGGGAAGACCGCTGAACCATCACGATCCAGGTCGCATGGCCCACCACGATCTCGAGCGCGTGCCCTGGGCAAGTGCGACGGCCCAAGAGCTCCTCGATAGCCAGACGCAACCTCCGCGCGCGCCAGGTGGACATCCGCACCGCGTGGCCGCGCCCGCCGAACGCATGGCCCGCGTAGCCCGCCCGGCACGCGGCCCCATTGGTCTCCTCGCGGATGGCGAAGCCCTGGCTGGAGAGCGCCTCCGCGACAGCAAGCCCCGCGCTGTCGACGTCCTGCCTCGGCGAGCCCATGACCGCGAAGTCGTCGACGTACGCGGCCGCCCGGCGGGCGCCCCGGGCCCAGAGAGCGAGGGGCCTCTCTGCCCCTTGCGACAACATCGGCGCGCTGGCCGCCTCGCGCAGGCACCTCCTCCGTGACCAGCTGGCAGAGGTGCGGCGCCCAACCCGCCCATCGGCGACGCCGCCAGCGCCGGAACCAGGAGCGTCGAAGCGCCGCGACCCCGCCCACCGCGCCGCCGCGCAGCGCAGGTCGCCCGAAGCAGGACCCAAACTCTTCTGGCACCTCGATGGCGTAGAGCGCGTGGCTGATGTCCCCGCCAACGAACCAGGCGACGCCCCGCTCCTGCGTCTCCAGCTTCACGAAGGCGGCGGCCGAGGGCAAGCGCGTCGGCGGCGGCGGCATGAAGTCGCAGTTTGCCAACCTTGTGTCGTAGATGACTATCTGCATCTGGTTCCTTCTTGACGAAGAATAAGCCCACCGTTGCATTGCTGTCGTCAAGATCCTCGGCGGGCACAAGGCGAGCCATGCCGCGACTCGCCAGTCCAGTCACAAAATCTCCATGCACTCTGTGATCCCGAAGTGCAGGGTCAAGATGAGGACGTAGAAGTCCGAGCACAGGACCGCAGGCCAGCCGCTGCAGCTGGAGGTCTTCGCGCGTTGACCCTCAGATCCCACGGCCAGGTAGGGTGCTCGGCTGGCGGCGCATCGCCCAAGGAAACGGGCTTCGCTCCCACGGCCGGCCAGGACACAGCGCCCCTGTTGTGGGTCACGACGGCTGCAGCGCACTCGCCGCACATGGCGGCGCTGCCGCAGAGCTCACGAGGGCCCCCGCGGCGACGCACATCAGCAGGACGAGAACCGACCGAGCCGCAGCTGCGCTCCAGGTGCTCGAGGCACATCCGCCGCGCAGCGCTCGCGGCACCATCGCCCGCCAAATCACGTCCAGCGAGTGAGTTAAGCGATTGGATGCCGTCTTTGGCCAAGCCAGGCGCACGGCGACGGCGGCGAGCACGACGGGCGACGGCGCGATAGCCAGCACCAGTCCGAGAGGGGACCGAGAGAAGAGGCACGGGGAAGATGTCGCGCTGGCGCACCATCACCTTGCGGCCGAAGATGCGAAAGCCTGCGCGCCCGGAGCCAGGG